ACGTTACAGAACCACCATCACGCCACATACCCACCATCACGTTACATACCCACCACCACGTTACAGACCCACCATCACGTCACCACGTTACAGACCCACCATCACGTCACCACGTCACAGACCCACCATCACGTCACACCCCATCACGTCATCACGTTACAGACCCACCATCACGTCACAGACCCACCGTCACGTCACAGACCCACCATCACGTCATCACGTAACAGATCTCACCGTGGTACAGTCCCCTACCATGTTTCAAACCTACCACTGCATTAAAGATCCCCCACCTAATGTACAAACCGACCATCACGTACATCACTGCGGCTAAGGTACGACAATGTTACGGTATAAGAGGCAACACTGGCTGAGAGAGGAGTCTGGGAGGCCAGTCTATCGATCAGCCAACTATAGTGTAATGGAAACTAGTTGAAAGAGTAACTATATATCACGTCCGCTGAGAAGTTATTATCTTTCATCATTCTTATCATATAAATGGAAATCAGTAAGTTCTGCCGAAACGTTACTATATTGTTAAAATAAACTTGTCACTTATCAAACTCGTAAAACAGCTGACCTGTCAGTCATCCAACTCTTCTTCCCCCGCCCCTGCCTTCAGTCAGCTACCCACAGGAATATTGCCAATCTGATAACCCTACTGCCCCAATATACAAATTTCAACGATTGATCCTTCACATCAATTCTCTCTGATTTCATTCTAAATTATTGACTACAAGCAGCCTGGTATACACTCGTCACGGATCACGCCCCAAGAGTTGCCAACACTGATAGCGTCTGGGAGGGCCTCATTGTGATGTTTCGTACGCTTAGGCGAATTTCACGTCCTATAGTTCTGAACGTCATTTCGGCGCAATTCGATTTCATATTATTTGATGTCGTGACCTGATACCCAACTGACAGTGACTAGACAATCCTTTAAACTGGTTCTGTGTCTTATCGACGAATCCCCGAAGTCCAGCAACATTACAATGTTTGTTCTGATTTATTTGTAACGGTGGTGGCCGATAGGACTTATGAAACAGTATGTCTGTACGCTTCATAAATGGCTACCGTGACGAGTACCAGTTTTTTCGGCGTTATTTCCTATGTGTTTAACGGATATGTGGCAGTATGCGGGCATGTGTAGTAAAGGGAAGAGATTCAGTGGAAGGGGTATATTGGAAAATGCATATCTGGCACTGTGCACGTGCCAGGCTGCTTCGGCGACATGTCTCGTGAAATAATTCACAAACATGGTAAATAGTAACAGTTAAGGCCATGTGTGCTCGGTAGAACTGTATATTTAAAAATTTATGATGAAATATTATGTAAATGTGGAAAACGTTATGCGTGTCTTTTAACCACATTTACCACTTTGGCGAACCCACGTGGAAGCATCTTGGATACGAACTCTCGACCACAGCGCGCACTCCTAAGGGACGCAACTCTGCACAGCGAATCTCGGCACCTCCTTGCGCCCCTTGAATCTTGCAAGAACTTCAACAGCATCGAGTTAAAAGATATGATTCAAACTTGTTCTACATTTTCTTATCCAACGAAGTCAAATATGTAAATACTTGGTTTGTCTTTTCGAATAACCCGATTCCGTGCCTATAGTCTGAGATTGACATGGTCCTTATCACAAATACGTCCAGAACACTTCATACCCGTATTTGTCTCAGAAGAAATGCACGGAGAGCGTTCGTATTTCAGTATGGTGTGACTAAGTAGAACAAAGTATATTATGAGTACCCTTTGAATATGCCATTATCAGTGTCTTTATCAATGTTTAATTTGTAATTTCACTTACTGCACGCTGTGCCCAAATGCGTACCTTGCAATGGACACGTCAAAAGCCTCTAATTGTGAGTTCGAATCCCGGTTCGACCGATTTCGTTCCTATGTGTGTTAGCTCCATTGCCTTGTTCGTGGATTTCATCAGTGTAGTAAACGTTTGAGACATGTATTATTTCTAACTTACCTCGTAAGGATGGGAAAGCCGCAATAACTCGGTGCGCCTTCTGGCAGCAACAGTTGTATGTCCCCCAAGGAGTTGAGATTGATAATAAGATGTGCCGTTGAAATTGACATCCAATGATTGGGGGGAAAATACCAGCGCCCTGAGTATGCACTAGAGCGTGGATATGTGCGCTATATAAATATCCAATAATAATAATGAATAACAATAATCCCAAACCTCCCAAATTCAGGTGAGGTGAAATTGGATTTAACGTCGTGCTTGAGAATATTTCGCTCATATGACGACGTGCATGCGTGTGTATGTGTATGTGCGGCTGCTTGTACTAGCCCAGATTGAAGCTGGTTTTATAGTGCTAGCCCACTGAGATACCATGCCGCAGTGAAGCATGAATACCCCACTCAGACACATTATACTGACTCCGAGCCGACCAGTCCTTGTTGTACCCATTAATGCCGAGCGCCAGGCAGGGACCAACAAGTACCATATTTTAACGTCTTTTGGTATGACGCGGTCGGGGATCGAACCGGGCGGACGCTCTAACCACTACACCACGGAGGCGGTCCTGACGCGTAGTAGTATTGCTGATATAGTGTTGTAAGCAACGTTCAACCCAACAGCTGCAGGTACGTCAACCGTGTAAGAATACAAACACAAGAGAGAGGTGAACCGCCCTAATTATCATATAGTGCCATACGAATTTGCTGCCATGTTGACAGAAACACAGGCATCTGGAAAACCTTTATTACCATCAAATTGGGAACTTTATGCGAGCGAATAGTTATTGAGCAAGAAGGCGTCGCAAGGGTCTTTAGAGCTGACTGAAAGTAGTTCCGTATTTATCGGATCCTGGTAGCAGGTTTATCGGACTGGTTCGTCATCTCGAAAATCCATGTACTTAATGATGACATTTACGCTGTACATTTCGTCTCTTTGTGTCCTCCAAGCACCTGTTCATGCAGCTGTAATGTTAACGATGCTGGAACCCGTATCACTACGACCGGCGTCACTCAAGTTTACCGCAAGGTAATTCCTTCTAGATTACGCTAATGACCAGTTACTACGCTCCCTGTGCTTAATCCGGAGAAATGATCAGACGGTAAGATTAAAAGTGCATGCTAGAAAATTCAATTAGGCCATTGACGAAGGTTCCTCGCTATACGGAGACAATATAAAAATACAAGTCACATAAATCATAAAAAATCAATATTAATTATTTAATGTTTAAATATATGTCTTGACATCAGCTAATGTAAATCTATTTTACTCGCCATCGCGGGGGATCTCGGAAAGTCATAACTCCATAAAACAGACGCTGGTTGAAGGCTTGGGTGACTTAGAAACTTCAATATCTGGTTTCTGTCAAAATATACTACGACTCTTTCTGTCTTCCTCCGTTCTCTGAGTCTCCCTGTCTTTCACTCCTGCATGATAATTCATTCAGATGAAATTAATGACATCGCTGTTTTCTGTCTACTATTTATCTTTCCATCTTTCTATTTTTAGTTCCTTCAACGTGAGACTTTACTTGAGAATGGAACATGAAAAGATACATTTATATATGTCATGCAGTTTTATAACATGACATTTCGTATCACGTTGTCATGGAGAATATGGACATGACATTTCGTATCACGTTGCCGTGGAGAATATGGACATGACATTTAGTATCACGCTGTCATGGAGAATATGGACATGGCATTTAGTATCACGTTGTCATGGAGAATATGGAAATGACATTTAGTATCACGTTGCCGTGGAGAATATGGACATGGCATTTAGTATCACGTTGTCATGGAGAATATGGACATGACATTTAGTATCACGTTGTCATGGAGAATATGGACATGACATTTCATATCACGTTGCCGTGGAGAATATGGACATTACATTTAGTATCACGTTGTCATGGAGAATATGGACATTACATTTAGTATCATGTTGTCATGGAGAATATGGACATTACATTTAGTATGGAGACGTTTAGCCGTGGATGGAGAATATGGACATGACATTTCATATCACGTTGCCGTGGAGAATATGGACATTACATTTAGTATCACGTTGTCATGGAGAATATGGACATGACATTTAGTATCACGTTGTCATAGAGAATATCGAAATGACATTTCATATCACGTTGCCGTGGAGAATATGGACATTACATTTAGTATCACGTTGTCATGGATAATATGGACATTACATTTAGCATCACGTTGTCATGGAGAATATGGACATGACATTTAGTATCACGTTGTCATGGAGAATATGGAAATGACATTTAGTATCACGTTGCCGTGGAGAATATGGACATGGCATTTAGTATCACGTTGTCATGGAGAATATGGACATGACATTTAGTATCACGTGGTCATAGAGAATATGGACATTACATTTAGTATCACGTTGTCATGGTGAATATGGTACCACGTTGTCATGAGTGAAGAGGTTTAAAAGTATGCCTGTTAAATGTCTGCTTGTGGTGGGAAAGCTAGACGTGACATTCCATAGCATTATGTTATAGTTTAGGCCAAAACAAATATGTCCGTTTCCTATTACATGCTTTTTCAAAATAGGGTAGATGGGTCGGTTTTATCTTCTTCTTTTTTTACTTTTTTAATTTTATAGTGGCACCAGGTGGGCACCTGAGGTCTTCAAGAGTACATCATGTAGTGACAATTTCCTTATGATGAAACACTGAAAGATGTCTATATTTCATTATTTATGTTATTTATTTGCAGATTTGGTCAGTGATGAACCATTATGCCAATTCAATGCAATCCATTTTAGCCCTACGTACACTGAAACACATGAAAATATCATACTCGATTAGGATGAAAATGATGATTTGAAATGCACTCCAGTCATGATATCGACTTGGTTAAAAAATGATTTAGGGTCGGGGGGCTTAGGATAGGGTCGGTCGGGTTACCAGAAACGAAAATTTTTATATTTTGTTTGCCTTATAGACAGTTAATATTTATAGTATCACTGCATTTTGAATTCCACATGTCTTCCCCAGAGGGCCAACCCCGTCAGAAGTGTCGGTTCGACCCCAAACTCCACGGGAACTGGATGTTATATGATCGGGACAGAAATGAGGAAATCTCGATCAACCACAACAGGGCCTCTTTCTCCAAGTTCGGCAGGTTCTCGTGCCGGGAAACGGGATCTGACGAGAACCAATACAAGACGGTGTCCGAGTTTACCAATGGGTGGTAGGTCACATATCGTATACTACCCGAAACATCATTAGCACCACCAGATTCCTTCGTATGAACATTGGGAACTTGTCATTCCCTTTGAGATTAAACTTATAGCATGAGAAATATATTTGAGTAGTACAATAGAGAGTGGATTAACCCCGTCGAGACCAGTACCATTCCGTTTGAGCAAAATTGGGAGGGGGTGTCTTTGTGAAGTTCGAGAAGAATATTTCACATATATATTTAACAAAATATTTCAGACCTGAAATGAATTTTTTTTAAATTTTTAACATTGTCATTGATCCAAACTTATATTGTGCTTCTTGAACCGATGACAAAAACTCTTACGTAATACGACGAAATAATGAAACTTTTTCAAAGAAATACATCTATGTCCTCGGTAGTCGCTTAGTCACACCGATGAGGGGCGGTGGGGTAGCCTAGTGGTTAAAGCGTTGGCTCGTCACGCCGGAGACCCGGGTTCGATTCCCCACATGGGCACAATGTGTGAAGCCCATTTCTGGTGTCCCCCGCCGTGATATTGCTGGAATATTGCTAAAAACTCAGGCAGTCAGTCACACCGATGAACGGGAAAACCCCTTTTTAGCTTTATTGGGGTCCATAAGGGTCGCTGATCAGACATTTCAATTTAGGTTACAAATATATCTGAAGAATTTAACCATATTGGACTGCCAACTTCTTTTCTTTGCTTATTATAAAGCCATAACGCTTGGCGATCTGAAAAATAAAGGCCACATGCTGGACAATCAGGTCGAAATTGTATTATATAAGAGAATAATAGCCATGTTTCTATTGTCATTGGTTTATTTGTTTGCATGTTATTGTGAAATTTTATATGGATTAGATTCGCTAATCAGTGATGGCAGATTAAAATGGCTGACTCGGAGATAGGATGATCAGACCAATATGTTCCACTCGCCAGCCGAGTATTGGCTTAATCTACTTTGGGGTATTTAGCGATGTCTATATTGGCCGTTAGGGGTCCATTTACGACATAACAGGAATATTAGACAGATTTGGCGTGTTACGACCCAGAATACAATGTTTCGTGGATTGGTTTGGTATTCAGAAATAGTCTAGAATTGTATTGAGATAAATCAACATGTTAGTGCCCGACACTAAGCAGCTGTTCGATGTGGGGCGAGGTGGTGTAGTGAACTGACGAGTCAACAGGGTGCTGGTGGGGCGAGGTGGTGCAGTGAACTGACGGGTCTACAGGGTACTGGTTTGGGGATGTGGTGTAGTGATCTGACGGGTCTACAGGGTACTGGTGGGGCGAGGTGGTGTAGTGAACTGACGGGTCTACAGGGTACTGGTGGGGCGATGTGGTGTAGTGAATCGACGGGTCAACAGGGTACTGGTGGGGCGAGGTGGTGTAGTGAACTAACTGGTCAACAGGGTGCTGATGGGGCGATGTGGTGTAGTGAAGTGACGGGTCTACAGGGTGCTGATGTGGCGAGGTGGTGTAGTGAACTGACGGGTCAACAGGGTGCTGATGTGGCGAGGTGGTGTAGTGAACTGACGGGTCTACAGGGTACTGGTGGGGCGATGTGGTGTAGTGAACTGACGGGTCTACAGGGTACTGATGGGGCGAGGTGGTGTAGTGAACTGACGGGTCTACAGGGTACTGGTGGGGCGAGGTGGTGTAGTGAACTAACTGGTCAACAGGGTACTGGTGGGGCGAGGTGGTGTAGTGATCTGACGGGTCAACAGGGTGCTGGTGGGGAGAGGTGGTGTAGTGAACTAACTGGTTAACAGGGTACTGGTGGGACGAGGTGGTGTAGTGAACTGATGGGTCTACAGGGTACTGGTGGGGCGAGGTGGTGTAGTGAACTAACTGGTCAACAGGGTACTGGTGGGGCGAGGTGGTGTAGTGAACTAACTGGTCTACAGGGTACTGGTGGGGCGAGGTGGTGTAGTGATCTGAACAGGTCTACAGGGGTGTAGTGCTGGTGGGGCTATGTGGTGTAGTGAACTGATTGGGTCAACAGGGTGCTGATTGGGCGAGGTGGTGTAGTGAACTAACTGGTCAACAGGGTACTGGTGGGGCGAGGTGGTGTAGTGAACTAACTGGTCAACAGGGTACTGGTGGGGCGAGGTGGTGTAGTTAACTAACTGGTCTACAGGGTACTGGTGGGGCGAGGTGGTGTAGTGATCTGACGGGTCTACAGGGTGCTGGTGGGGCGAGGTGGTGTAGTGAACTGACGGGTCTACAGGGTGCTGGTGGGGCTATGTGGTGTAGTGAACTGATTGGGTCAACAGGGTGCTGATGGGGCGAGGTGGTGTAGTGAACTAACTGGTCAACAGGGTACTGGTGGGGCGAGGTGGTGTAGTGAACTGACGGGTCTACAGGGTACTTGTTTGGGGATGTGGTGTAGTGATCTGACGGGTCAACAGGGTGCTGATGGGGCGAGGTGGTGTAGTGAACTGACGGGTCAGCAGGGTACTGATGGGACGAGGTGGTGTAGTGAACTGGTGGGTCTACAGGGTACTGGTGGGGCGAGGCGTTGTGGTGAACTAGGGAACTGATAGGACTGGGTTGTGTAGTGGACCAATTGGCTAAAGAGAGTACCAGTTACGCGGGGAGGTATAGTGACTAACTGGCAGAGCAGGGTAGAGATGTGGCTATGTGGTATAGTTGACTGATTGGCTTAACAGAGTACAAGTTAAGTAAGGAGGTATAGTTTCTAACTGGCTGAACTGGGTAGCGATATGGTGTTGTGGCGTAACGGGTTGCCGTGCCATTCAGCGACAAGCATGGTGCTGATAAACAGAGAAATAATATCAAAGCGGATCTGGCTTCCGACCGTACACGTTTCTGGAGCTCCTAAGGGAAGCATCTCTGTAAAACGAATTGCGGGGTCTGAGACGATTGAGTCAGTGTGACCCCCATACAAAAGTCGTATGTACTTTATAAGCCAGCTGTAAGGATATTCTGTTTGTGACTACATATGTAACATACATGATCTACCTCTTCTCCCCACAGCTCTCCTCGCTATACGTGTATTGAGTTTCACCGAAGGAATAACAACGTCCTACAATACCGGATAAGTAAGTATAAGTGGTTTCCTATGCGTATCTGGCTCTGAAAGCATTACATCCCTAACCGTGTAATTTGACTTCACTGTCTTCGGAATGACTGTCTTCTCTTCCTCTAAACGATTAATCCTTTCCCGTATCTCTATATATACACAACACAGAAAAATTAACTCTTCACCAAGAGACACATGAAAAAGGTTGCTTTCCCACAAGGACAACCAAATGACGTCCGCTATCAATGCTAGTGGCGTATTAGCAGCTGAAAGGGAAGCAGTATCTATATAATCTAGATCTGGTTCAGATCATATGTACGTGTAAGTGATGGTATTCAGTGAAATCGCTCACCTAATCTGGCAATGATATTGACGTTATCCTCTGGACTATTACCGTGGTATTAAGTGGTGATGTTGCCCCCTCAAGGCAATACACACGTTATATGAATGTTAATTTGTGTAGATTTTGAAAGCATTTTTAACATTTATATTTAATTTTGTTCTCAAATAATCTGAGGTGCTGTGATGACGTCATCCTATTGTCTTTCTTTCACCTTGGTCGGATGTTATTGCATAAATGTAGATATAACATGTACAATTCCTTTATCGTTCGGCGCAGAGATTTTAGAGACATACCGTAAATTCTTGATCGACGCCCGTCTTAAACTTATCGTACGTATTGTATCGAAAGCATGCTGCGTTCGACACTCGCAATGAATAAACACATTGAAACGGGACTCTAAACATATACTGGACAAAAATAGTTAGGGATATATGTAATTTTTGAAATTATGAATAATTAATCTATTTATTCACTGACACACTGATAAAATATCAATCATAAAAATACCAATATCCCTAACTTATTTTGTCCAGTATAGATATTCCTCTAGGCACTCATGCAATGCTGCTGGAACTAAAAGTCGTTAGTATACGAAATACAAAATGCATTTATTTTTCTGTCGACACTCAAAAACACAGTATTTTCTTTTACACAAAACATGTCAGCAAAACAAAATATTTCTTTAAAACTTGTGGTTGCTTTAATAGTTTGGAATACACTTAAATCATTTCTTCGGAGCTATAAATCTCATATAATTACCTCATATCTTTGCAATAAAGGGCACGATATCACACCACACTTCTCTAAAAATATAAATCCGCGTGCGGCAGTTTCCGATGTACGGAGCAATTGTTTTTCTATACATGGCAAGTGTTCTCTGTTTGGAAGATGTCAGTTTCAATTATCGATTTCAGGCAAGTCGTAAGAGATTATATGTCTTGTATTGCATCATTAGGAAGCTGAAGTGATTGCATATGCCCCAATATATACTGTATATATAACATAGGCCCAAATATTGTCGAAAATATGTGACATTGTGCCTTTAAAGGGCACATGCAACCAAAAAATCAAACATAATTAAAACACAATTATCACTTATTCATGACATATAATATACATTGCTGGTTATGAAAAAAACATATAAACAAAATTATAAGAGTACAATCGCAAATCAAAAGTGCAATATTGTGTACTTCGGTTTACTTCCCAAGAAACGAAGCAGCCGGGATACCGAACCCAGTCAGAGCGGGTGGGTGTGCACTCAAGTGTAACGGCTGGTTCATTTGCCGATGCCCTCACGGCTAATTGTGTGTGTATATATAGAGATGTTGGGTTTTGTAAATACATGCTCATTTTGTGTATAACATTTTGCAATCAACAGACATCATAACATGTCATGTGTTCAAGTATCACACCTGCCTGTCTGTGTAATTACATCATGTGACAGAGACCGAACTCGGGCCATAAATCAATGCATTTTGTTTATGGTGTATAGCCTGATTGGTTTTAAGTTCAAATTGCATGTGGTCAGTGATAGCAGCTGTGTATTGAATATTGTCATTAGCAGACAGGCGGGCAGACACACAGGTGTCAATAAAACAAGACATTGAGTTTTGTCTGTGACAACGACATATCTATATCACAGTTGGAAATTCTGTCAACGCTAAATAATGGCATTGCTTTTAAGTATCGAACTGAGAAAGTGACTCGGTAAGAAGAACGCGTGGTGAAATAGACGAATGAAATTATATAAACAGTTAATTTACTGTCATAACATATAAAAAGCTCGCGCCTGTGAGATATCAACAAAACATTAGAAAAATAGCACACACCAAAGCCTTCACCGAGCATTCACCGGACAACCGCTTCCAAGCTGCGTGAACCTACTTCACTGCGCACGTGCTATAAGCGCCGCCCAGCTGTTGAAACCCGTTTTCCCCAGAAAAGTCGGGGGAAATTTAGTGAAACGTTTGAACTCCGATTTCGCGCGTTTTTTCATCGCGTTATTTTTCAACTTTATAAGTTGAATTTGCATTTTTGACGATTTGTTTCGGTAAGTCCATACCGAAAGGTATCAGAATCTGCAGAGTTGTGTTTTGCGTTGCATGTGACCTTTAAGGTAATCGTTAAAACAGTACTAGTGTTCACTGCCATCTCAGACAAAATTATCCAAGGTACAACTAAGTACCAAATACGACTTAAGTAATCGATGTAAATGCCGATACTGAGAAAACCTTCCTTCTGTCACATAATCCATACAAATAATGTGATGGCGAAAACCAAGAACATTTAATATGCTGCCAAACAAACCAGAGCCGAATCAGCGCGAACACCACGTTTTGGATAAGTGTTCGTGCAACAGAAGAATCCATTTTCAGTGTGGTGCAGAGCCATGCCGTTGACGTACAACGTGCTCTACGTTTTTCGCCAGTTATTGTTTAATTATGCAGATTGGCAAGGTGGTTGTTGTTATAAGGTTTAGTCAGCTGAGGTTGAAAAGACAAATCGACACACCAGCTAGCTTTGATAGTGAGTGAGTTAGGTTTTACGCCGCTTTTGGCAATATTCTAGCAATATCAAAGCGGGGGACACAAAAAATGGGCTTCGTATATTGTAGCCATATCGAATTGAACCCGAGCCTCGGCGTGACTAACAAACGCTTTAACCATTAGGCTACCACTACATCCCTGCTACGATAGTAAAAGATAGTACAGCAATAAATCTCTTCGGTCGAGTATTTTTTTCTTATATTGACAATGTTGGAACGCTGCAATGTATCATAAAATCACCTTTTTGTAATGTGAAATCGGATATCAGTAACTATCTACAGCAGTAAGTGATAGTTGTAAAAAACAACTGAAATAGCTCCATCTATTATACTCTCATTCACACGTAACGGTTTTATTGGATCAAAAATGAATTGCTCGCTTGTTACGTTTCAACATACACTGGTACTAGGGTAAATTACTCCAAGAAAAAAATTACTTTAAAAAAATTGCCCCAGTTTTTCCCCAAGCGCCCACTCGACTTACCACAGGCTAATTGGGTCATAACTCACCATCTTCAATCATCAATAACGACCTTCGTCACCAACGTTGATAAAAAACTAACAAAGTGATCTGTCACTCTTTCTTGCGCTCTTACTTTCGTTATTTAACACAATGGTTGAGCCAGATATCTATATTTGACAAATTTCCTATCTTCAAACCAGTGGCGCCATTGTAATTGCAAAGTTATCTCCCCTGGGACTCACAAAACACTTCCGCTTTGTACCGTAATGGACGTTTCATGCTCTCTCACATTCAGCTAGGGCAAGGCTATCATATTTGGCCTGACAATGCGTTAGGATATCGTTATACAGACTAGACCGACAACGATGGGTGTATGCCATGTTTTATTCATACATAAGACCCATGTAAAGCACACAATAACATCCCCTCGATCTCTCAACAGCTGCAAAAGGACCATCACGAGTAAATCAAAGCATTCGTCTTCTGAAGATGTTATCTTTACTTGGGAATACTTGAACCCACATAATCTTGAGGATTGATCGTTTTGTAACAGGCTTGCGGTCTGCTATCGTTGAACTGCTTTGCATTTGATCCCAAGCCCTTTAAACACCCAGCAATAAGTGTTTCTCCGGTACAAGGTGCGTAACTATGGATTAAGAAACAATATTTGGTACGAATTTGTTATTTTCGCATTTGCGTCATACGCGGGAGCTGGTGTATCTACAATGACATTCTAGACAGTAAATGGGTTGGGATTTTACATAAGTGGTGGCTAAATGCTCTGAGCGTTGTCTGGCTATCTGGGGGTCGAGGGCAGGGTTGGGGGGTACATTAACAGCCCCTACACCAGCACAAGGAACCGCGGACCGGTAATGCGTGGGGTCAGTTCAGGGCGAATCATTGATTCCGTTTTGCTGGAGTAGTGATTATGTCACCAACGCCCAACATTACGCATCAACTAAATGTCTGTTTCTTGATGGCAGGATATTAGAAGCATTACTAGGCAGCGGAAACGCGGTGGTGACCTGCGGATCAGACAGGTCACAGAACGTTAATTAAGACTAATATTTAGTCATAACAAAAGAGGTTACACCGCATGCACTCGGCCTTTGTATTCAGACACAGCCACCTGAGTCTCCTTCTTTAAAGGGCATGTCGTAAATCTACATTAAAGGATGGGAGCTATTCCTTATCCCTTCTGGGCTATGACCGTCTTGAGCATCCATATCAACGAGTGTGATCGTCTTAGGAACCGTTCATAATTTATGAATGAACCCATAAAAAATGTATGTACAAAGTAAGTGGCACCCCCTCCACCCGCCCACTTCATGTTATGTACGATCCCCTAGCTCATGTGTAAAAAAATGATGGACCCCCTCCCCGGAACAAAATGGGTGGAAAAAAACAAAACACCACCATCCCCTCCACCCCCCTTAAAATCATCACACACACCTTCCCCCACACCCCCTTTCCATAAATTATGAACGGTCCCTTAACAAAGACTGATTCATTGGTTAAAGCGTCCACTCGTCATGTCAGAGGCCTCCCTGGTTCAAATCCCCATATAGTCTTTGACGCCCATTTCTGGTTTATGCTGATGACCAATTCTAACCCGGATCTTCATGGTCAACGGACTATATAATAACAAACATGGAAACCTATATTTTTTGACATGGCAAGAACACCACAATACCAGTCCGCCTTCTCATACATTATTCTTGTTCCGGTAGGTAAGAGCATGCGCACTGATGCCGACCTTGAAGACCTGTGTTCCTTCCACGACGACCCCTTTCCGCTGGGCGACAGTTACCGGAGTTTCTTCTACAAGAACCTTGTCTGTAAGTGAAGGATACTTGCGACCACAACATATGAAACTGCGTCCAGTTCCACATGACCACAATAATATCGAGATTCAAAGATCTTGGCGGCCATTTGTTATTCAATTTTGATGGTCAAAGACAATTTTTTCAGCTTGGTATCCTATTTTGTCGTGACCAACACCATTTAAATAGGTCAAATAGCCTGGATAACAAATCCTTCTAAAATGCCTCTTGCATGACTTTTATCCACAATCGGTCCTAGTCTGTAACAACATTTTGAATCCCTAAGCTTGCTGCAAGATATCTGATACTTTCTCACTCACTCATAACCATATTTGTTACGTGTCATGGATGCACATCAATTGGTCATATTTCATGTTTCAAAGTTTTGGAGAAACAGCTGGTTTCCATTAATTGGCAAACATTTGAATGGCAGGTATTACCTATATTAGCAGGGCGCGCTTACCTTGTACAAACGCCTGGTGTTATCACTGATTTTCACTGATCCATTTCTAATATTTATTTGCTATCCTTCCCTATATACCGAACGGATTTTGTTTCTGGGCATTGTCAAGTTTAGGTATTCTTTTGCACTCATGTTTTATATTCAGCAGAAAACCTAATGGCAATCCAGAGACATTTTTAACAGTCGCATAACATTAGTTTCAAAGGCAGGACCGGAGCGGTGATCTTATATTTCCATTTTTAACAAGTACTCTTGTTATTGCATTACTGTGCCGGGGGGATTCTGTCTGATATATATAATGTTTAACAGTGTATTTATTCATACCTTTAAATTTAATCCAATATCTGCAGAAAGTCTGCATTTTGATCCCTGAAGTGTCGGAGACAAATGATCTCACCCCCCTTTATTTGACACAGTCACACAACAGTGTATAAGGTTGCATTGACCAAGTGTAAGCCGACATTTGTCTGTAAGTCTGATAATTTCCCTTCAAATTTTGGAGAAAACTGGTTTTTCCTGATTCTGGAATATCAAAACCTACGCAGCAACAACAACCAAATGTAGCCCTACATACCCTAAGTCCCCTGTTAGCACATTTTCAAGCACGACTCATGTTCTCCTGTCATACCATTATGTTGTAAAATAGCCAGTTCCAATAGCCACATTTATTACATACGAGGGCGAAAATATCGGGGTTCATATTTTCATACGACGCCTTAGGGCAAATGACACTTTGTCATGGTGACGTGACGTCATGAACAATGCTGTGACGTCACGTTTCTTCTATGACGTTGCGTTCTACATAGGCGACGGCAGGTAGCTAGCCTATGTTTGAAAGCAGATTTTTCTCAATTTGACGACTTCGGTCATAAACAGAATATTATATTCATGCCCATATCATACTATGTTTACGACACTCGTGCCTAAATATCGGTATATCCCTCGCTCTCGCTCGGGAAATACCAACATGTAGGCGCTCGTGTCGTAAACATAGTATGACATGGGCACTCATATAATATCCTTTATGTATTCATCTGTATACTCTCTCCCTCAGTATCCAAGAAACTGTGGCCATCCTACTGCGGCCTGGACAGCACCATCCCCTTCAACGGCTCCTTCAACGGGGAACACTGTGAGGGTACGGTGTCGGACTGGGATGAGGAGAGCTGCACCACCAAGGGAACGATGTTACTCAGGTCCCACACATGTGGTTCACTCCTGGCACCCATGGGTAAGCCCATTCAAAATACGGGAAACATGGGTAGTTCTACGAGTGAGTGAGTGTGTTGGGTTTAAGTATGTTTACATTTCAGTTATGTCACGGTGGTTCAGCGTGAAAGCTCACACAGGGCTCATGTTTCGACTTGATGAAACTAACTAGGACAGATATGGGGCTAACTTTAAAATAATCAGGGCATTTTTTTATTCGAACTTAGGGACCGTTCAAAACTTATGGCAAGGGGGGCTGGTGATGAGTTTTATGGAGAAGCATGTACAATGTGAAAGACCCCTCCTAAAATTTATGTACAAAATAAGTGACCCCCCTGCATGTCATGTACAAAATCAATGCCCCTCCCCCCTTCCCATAATTTCTAAGCATAATTTTAAACATATTTTTATGTACAAAACTGCTGACCCCCCTAGCTCCCCAGAACAAAATGAGTGACCTACCCTTAAAATCATCATCATCATACACGCACGCACGCACGCACGCACGCACGCACACACACACCAGCCATCACTTATGAACGGTCCCTAACGATCAATGGTTTGGGTTATTCCTATATGATGTATCTGTGTTTCGCCCGTGTCCCCTATATGACTAGGTCTGATTACTGTTTTACTATCCATATGTTTCTGACGTAACGCACTGACTGAAACAGTCCAAGACGTTCTGTTGAAACCTGAAATATACTCACTAATACTGAAGCCAGGGCATGTGGGGTTAATAACACATGCTCTCCATTGTTAGATTCGAACTTAAGATCTATGGTTTCTGGTACCCTAACTGATGGAACTGTGAACGAACTTGGGTTGAAGGATAATTTAGAATATGTTCCGGAAGTTGCTGTTTCACTGTTACATTTCAAAAGGTGTTTTCAAGCAAGGGAATACCGGGGTTAATAACACATATACTCCATTAGAAGTGAATAAATTAAGTGAATTGCTACATTTTGTATTTTGAAGCTGAAATGGATATTGTACATGTCAACTTCTTGTATATGTCTGTGGCGTCTCTTCGTTCATTTCCATTCACTGCGCATGCGTCATATAACAGATTACACGTATTTGTCTTACATGGGTGCCCCATTGTTAGAGCAAACAGCTATAGGTAGTCCCAACCATGGTTTGATTTTTCGCATGAATAAGATTTGTGTTTCATAGTGTCCTTAGAATAATATGGCACAAATAACGAAAAGTATAGACCCCCATTCCATAAGAAAACCCCAGAAGTATGTTTACCCAAACTGTTTTTATCGTGTTTTACATTTTCGGATAATCTTAACGTGTTGTTTTGTTTGTTTCCATTGATTTGACTCTGGCATGAATAGTCAGTTATCCTAAGTCTTAATCTGACTTCGTCAAAATATTTTTTTCCGTTGTATACTAAAACTATTTCCTCGCACCTGTCCCAGTAAGCGTTATTACGTCTTTGTTGTCATGGTGACAGACGTGGTTTTCGCTAAATACATTCAGTTGTGAACCAGTTTATACATTATCTTAAATTTGTTGAAGCTAATATAATGTATTCTACTTTCTATCTAACTTGGCTTATAGTTGGAAGATGTAAACAGACTTGTTGTAAAGCTCGTGTTGAATATGACAGAAAATAGGCAGTAGTTAATTTGGAACGATCACATTGCATACCCATTATCCTGCGCATCTAAACATCTTTCTCTCAAACATCCTCCCCAGATCCCTCCTTCCATCCACGCTACTTCCCTCCCCAATTCTCATGTGTCTAAACCATTCTTTCTATCTTCCACGTCCCTTCCTCTAACGCCTCTTCTTCCATAAGTCCTTTTCTCTCGTCCCTGCTTCCAAATGTCCTGTTCTTTTCACCCCTGTTCCCCCCTTTTTTATAGTCCTCTCCTCTCACCCTTCTTGTTCCCCAATGTCTTCTTCTTTCCATCCCTCCTTTTATATACGTCAATAATATCATCCACCATGTTTCATTTCTTCATCCAATGGCCCTCTTTTCCCACTCTTTATTCTGTACATGTACGTTCTGTTCCCTCAGGTCTCATTCTATCAGCCCTCTTCTCTTACACCCACAAGTCATCCTCTGCCATCCCTCTTTTCCTTTTATCTAATTCCACCTTCCCTAAGTCCTCTCGTATCACCCCCCTCCCTCAGCCTTCTCACTCACTCACCTCAAAATTCTAATTCCTCAATATGTTTTGCTTCACTTGTGTAATTTCTCCTACCCCTGTGTCCCTCCCTTAGTCCCCACCCCCTACTACTCTATCCATCCCTCCCCCTACCCTCACCCCTACTGTATCCATCAGCCCCAACCCCACTGATTCCACGTCACCCCTGGTCTACTCTGTATCCATCCCTCTACTACTCTATCCATCACCCCTCACCCCCTACTACTTTCGTATCCATCACCCCCACCCCTACTACTACTCTATCCATCACCCCCACCCTACTACTACTCTATCCATCAACCCCACCCCTACTACTCTATCCATCACCCCACCCTACTACTCTATCCATCACCCCCACCCTACTACTCTGTCCATCACCCCCACCCTAATTTTACTACCCCATCTCTACTCTCTATCCATCACCCCCATCCCCTACTACTCTATCCATCACCCCAATCCCTACTACTCTATCCACCCATCACCCCCAATCCCCCACCCTACTACTCACTCCACTCTATCCATCACCCCCAACCCTACTACTCTATCCATCACCCCCACTACTCCCTACTACTTTATTCCATCACCCCCACCTCTACTAATTTCTTCCCATCCATCACCCCCACCCTACTACTCTATCCATCACCCCCAACCCTCTACTACTTTACTCTCACTCGATCCCACCCCAATCTCTACTACTTTACTATCCATCACCCCCCACCCTACTACTCTATCCATCACCCCCACCCCTACTACTCTATCCACTACTCTATCCATCACCCCCTCCTACTACTCCCCCCATACCTTACTTACTCTATCCATCCCCTAACCCCTACTACTCTCTATCCATCATCACCCCCAACCCCTACTACTTCTATCCATCACCCCTAACCCCTACTACTCCCTATCCATCACTTCCCCATCCCTACTACTCTATCCATCACCCCCACCCCTACTACTCTATCCATCACCCCCAACCCCTACTACTCTATCCATCACCCCCAACCCCTACTACTCTATCCATCACCCCCCACACTACCCATCCATCAACCCCACTACTATCCCATCACCCCCAACCCCTACTACTCTATCCATCACCCCCACCCTACTACTTCCATCCATCACCCCACCCTACTACTCTATCCCATCACCCCCACCCCTACTACTCTATCCATCACCCCAACCCTACTACTCTATCCATCACCCCTTACCCCTACTACTCTATCCATCACCCCCCCTATCCACTACTACTCCCATCCATCACCCCCAACCCTACTACTCTATCCATCACCCCCACCCCTACTACTCTATCCATCACCCCCACCCCTACTACTCTATCCATCCCCACCCTACTACTCTATCCATCGGCCCCATCCCTACTACTCTATCCATCACCCCCACCCTCTATGACTTTGTCCATCGCTATCCCCACCCCACCCACCTACTACTCTATCCATCACCCCCACCCTATGACTTTGTCCATCGCCCCACCCCTCCCTCATGTCTCTATCCATCTGTCCCCCACCCTATGACTCTGTCCATCGCCCCTACCCCTACTACTCTATCCATCAACCCCCCTATGACTCTGTCCATCCCCCGCCCCCTCTTCTATCCATCAGCCCCCACCCGTGTCTGCGTCAGTGTACGTGTTTTGCCTGCTAATTATCGGTGTAGAGCCACGTGACTGCCTTTCAGAGTTCCAGTGTCTGGCCTACATCCGGGAAGAGGAGACAACTCAACAACAGCTGCTGATCACCAGGAGTATGGACGGCCGGAACGAGTTCAACTGTTGGGTAAGAATTATATTGCATGTGTTTTTGTTGTCTAGCGCCGCTCCGAGTTAGAGTTGGTCTTCAGCAGCCCATGCTTGTCATAAGAAGCGACTGACATGATAGGGTGGTCAGTTCAGACTTGATTGACACATGTCATCGTATCCCAACTGCGTAGATCGATCATTGGATTGTCTTTTCCAGAATCGAGTTTTCACAGACAACCGCCATAAAGCTGGAATATTGCTGGATGTGGCGTTAAACAACAAACAGTCTAGTGATGCGTGTCTGGGCCAGATTATCTAGTGATTGATAACGTGTACAACGCGGAGTAAAAGTATATTCAATCAACCAAGTCAGCTGACCATCGCAGTCTAAGTAAACTTAGGTTCAATATTATTCGTTACACTGCTTTACCGAAGACACGGGTTTGATTCCCCGCATGGGTATACTAGTATGTGTGGAAGCCCATTTCTGGTGCCCCCTGCTGTAATATTGCTGGAGTATTGCTAAAAGCGGCGTAAAACTAAACTCACTCACTTACCCACTCTGGAAGTCGCTAACTATTTCAGACTTTACCCTTGGGAGTCTAGGGTTCACTGAAACATGGATTGACAACCATCTCTTCCACGTTGTATCAGGGTGAACTGTTCTGAAACTGAAGAGAGAAGAGTTTGAAATTTCTTTCAGGGTGGTGTGAAAGTTTGGGATTTGCTCTGTAAATAGAGTCGTTTGTGTTGACAAGAGAGAGATAATTTGTCTCGACTGAAAATGTCAGAAAGCTTCACTTGATCAGTCTACGTGACCTTGCTGACATGAGCTGATTCAATAATGTTTGAACCAAATAACCTATACTGTCTCACACATGAAGTCTCTGTAGGCCTGGCCTGCTTCATCTGCCAGCTGTGTTTATGACCTAACTGGTCCGCGGTTGGCTCAGTGGTCCATGAAGCATACTGTGCAGAGTTGCGTCCCTTGGCTGTGAAAGGATCTGCTTGTCCTCAGTTCAAATCCCAAATTCAAGCCGATTAGAACACGTGTTCTAACAGAAGCATACCGAAGGTGTATAACCTAGCATAGTTGGGATGTTCTTCTGCAAGAGTCTTACACGTGATATATTAGTAAGTGAGTTGGGTTTAAAGCATCTCTGAACAGTATTCGAATACTGTATTCGAGTAATGATATGAGAATCCGCAGACAGAAAGGTTAGAAAGATCTATAAACAGTCCGTCTGCATTTTGGAAAAGTATCCGCCATTTACAAAAAAGAAATACGTCCGGAAATAGCATAACTAAAACTCAATGGTTAAATCATTTCAAAGATGTATATTCAAACGGTGAGATATTAGACTCAACATTCGACGATGAAATTAACACTGTAGATTCCAATAATGACTATTATACAGAAGTAGATCAACTTGTACTAGACAGTCCTATTGCCGAACAGGAAATATTAGAAGCGATAAATCATCTTAAAAATGGGAAGGCTGCTGGACCTGACTTTATCATAATAGAAATGATAAAGTGTTCTAAATTCGAAATTATGCCGTTCCTTACGAAATGTTTCAATAAGCTGTATGAACATGGAATTTTTCCCTGCAGTTGGTCAAGCTCTATAATAAATCCACTTCATAAAAAGGGCGACAGAAACGATCCAGATAATTATCGGGGTATATCATTAATGAGTATCTTGGGGAAAGTATTTACGTTGATATTGAACAATAGACTATCAAACTGGGCGAATATGCGTGATAAGATTCCTGAATCGCAGGCAGGATTTAGAAAGGGATATTCTACCACTGATCATATATTTACTCTGTATGCACTAGTCCAAAAATCGCTATCAAAAAGAAAACATAAGTTGTACATAGCATTTGTAGATTTTAAAAAGGCATTCGACTCAGTCAATCGTTGTAAATTATGGCAGTGTTTACGCAAGTCAGGTTTACGAGGGAAAATGGTTAGCATTCTCAAATCAATGTATTCTAACGTTCGATCTTGTGTGCGTTGCAAAGACGGGGTTACAGATTTTTTCGATTGCCCACTTGGTTTAAGACAAGGTTGCTGCTTAAGTCCACTCCTATTTTCCTTCTTCATTAGTGAATTATATCACGATATCAATTTAGCTGGAAAACATGGAATCCAAATGTACCCAGATCTTGTAGAAGTCCTAATGCTCCTTTTTGCTGACGACGTTATTTTAGTTTCGGATACTGTGGTCGGTTTACAAAATCAATTAAATATCTTAGAAAGTTATACTAAAGAATGGAAGTTAACAGTAAATTTAAGCAAAACAGAAATTGTGATATTTAGGAGGGGGCGGTCCCGTGGCCACAAACGAACGCTGGTTTTGATGGTCAGTTGATTAATGTATCCGATCAATATTCTTACTTAGGGTTTTTGTTTTCAAACAGAATGAACTTGAATAAATGTGCACATAACTTAACTTTACGTGGAAAAAGGGCTTTAATACAAGTTTTATCGGTTTTATACAAAGTTGGAACTATGTCACCCAATGTGTTTTTTAAGATATTTAATTCTCAGATTCAACCCATTTTATTATATGGATCTGAAATATGGGGTTTTCAGCGTTTTGATTGTATTGAGAGAGTGCATCTTTTAGCCTGTAAAAGTACCTCAATGTAAGCTCAAAGACACCTAACTGCATGGTATATGGCGAATGTGGCAGATTTCCTTTGTATATCAATTCTCACATAAGATGTTTAAAATATTGGTTTAAGGTTCTAAATATGCACGAACAACGTCTGCCAAAATTAGCTTACAATATGCTTTTAAATCTGGATAATTTGGGAAAACACACTTGGGTAACTGATATCAGAAATTTATTATTTTCTCACGGTTTCGGTTTCGTATGGTTGAGCCAAACAATTGGCGATGTGAACTGGTTTATTAATGAATTTCGTGTTAGATCAATAGATATGTTCAATCAAGAATGGAATTCCACCCTAGACTCAAGCTCAAGATATGAATATTACAGGACCTTTAAAACGTTACTCCAGCCAGAAAAATACTTATCAATAATTACAACATATAGTTTAAGAACAATGTTCGTAAAATATCGTTTAGGTTTGTTATCTTTAATGATCAATGAGGGTAGAAAAACCTCTGTCCAGAAAGAACGTCGATATTGTCCTTTATGTAACCTTGGAATAGAAAATGAAATTCATTTTACCCTGATATGTCCTTGTTATCACGAATTAAGACAGAAATATATACCGCACCATCTTCTTGCAAAGCAGCCCCATTATGCATATATATCTTTGTTACAAACCAATAATGAAAATATTCTTGCTCAATTGTCCTTATATATAAAATATGCTTTAGCTAAATGAGATCTTCTTATAAAGCGAATTGTATACCCTTAAATATATATGTAAATATCCAGAATATTCCTTTATCACTGTAACTCTCATGTATATGGGCCGGAGGCCTTTCATACAATAAACATCTTTTGACTTTGACTTTGACAGTATTCGACTCACGGCGTGTCAGCTAGATGTGGGTTGAAAGCCCGAAGAGATGCAGGTCTCTGACCGTTACTACTTGCGTGAAACCCACGACCACGGTATGGTTCTGATCATCTATAGACCAGGATTCGAACCGTAAATCATAGATAATTGCATGGTTTTAGACGAGTGGGTCACCCGTGTCCCCAATATAATAGTAATCTCAATGGAGTCCAACCCATCAACTTTAATACCTAATACCACGAGTATGTCTTTCCTGCTGTTTAATGTATGGCTAGGGGCGGTGGGGTAGCCAAGAGGTTAAAGCGTTCGCTCGTCACGCCGAAGGCCCGGGTTCGATTCCCCACATGGGTGCAATGTGTAAAACCCATTTCCGGTGTCCCCCGCCGTGATATTGCTGGAATGTTGCTAAAAGCGGCGTAAAACCCAACTCACCCTCTCACTGTTGTAAGACTTGACGCACCTGCTCATAGTAGGAACAACCAGTCCCAAATACAGCTTTGTGACATTTGAAGTTACGCTAAACACTTGTCATGTCGAAGCTTAAAACAGAGGGACCCGACAAACGTGTCTAACCATTAATAACAGTGTCAACATGGCTGCCACGGCAATCTCATTGAGATTGTTAAGAAGTCGTTAGTTTACAGCTCGTGTGAACTCATCTGTTTTATGGTGATGTTGCCTTGTTGTTTTTTCTTTATCATTCTGACTTTCACCTCAAATTGTCAAAGAATTTTCTGACACCTCACCCAGGTCGCCGAGAACCATTTTGCTGTGTTCACGGCGGCACGTGACATCTGAGATGTGAGATATTTTCATCAGCTGATGTATCGTCGTCTAATGTACCTAAAATAATCATTAAACACTCGAGTTCGGAGACCCTATTGTATCTGTATCGTGCAAGACACAAGGCTTTGTTCAACCTGACATGTTTTTCACTCTGGTCTACAAAGCGTCCTATATTATAAAGGACAAAGTGTTCTAAAAGTACCGACAAAGCCTGTTCATGCTTCTGTCCAACTTGTACTTTCCCCCTAAAATACTGTCTTCATTATCTTGGGAAGTCGCTTCACTTTGACATCTACCAATACAGTTAATTATGCAAAGCCGAAAATGGTAAAAGGTCGGATTCCGCAATTGTGGAATTGGCCTTGGCACCAGTCAAAGACAGAGCTGTGAGTGAATCCAACGGCAGTATTGGCCGCAGACTATGAGAAGCTCTGAGATGCATGTGGCCATTCTCGTCCGAATTATGAAGACAATCAGCTTTGACCTTTACCTGCTGTCTTCAGCCACTGATCTAGCCAGCAGGCGGGAAGAGACTGGGATCAATCTAAATTAGAGTAATTAGTCACCTAATTAGTCACTTAGAGCGACGCGAGACGATGAGACAGGTGTTAGATGTTGAGGTGAGAAGCTCCCTCTGTCAGGCTCGGACTGCGGCAGTATCACTCACCTGGGTTGTGCTCCGGCTGAGGTGAAAGTAGTGCAGCAAGAGGATGGATTGACAGCAAGTGTGCCCGGGGATGGCGACACC